CTCCTGTGTTTGTAGACGGCAGATCTTGTGAAGATGCGTGCGGTCAGCAGAGGGCCGCCTAGGCCACGTTACCATCAATCAGCTCACCAACTGCGTGGACACCTACCCGGATGATTGGCCTCTCCCTACTCAGCCAACTGCTCCAGGAACACGCAGACCGGTACTTCCCCAGTCCTGCCTCAGATCTCGACCTCCTCAACCAACCTTCCCCACCACTGCATCCGGGAGACCAAGTCCTGCTCAAATCACTTCAGCCAAAGCCACTGCAGCCTCGGTGGACCGGCCCACACACGGTTATTCTCACCACGCCTACAGCGGTAACACTTCTGGGACACCCCTCCTGGCACCATCTGTCAGGGGTCAAACGTGCCCCCGAAGACAAACAGTATGTATGTCGTAACCTGGGTCCTACTAGGATGTGCATTTCTTGTCAAAATCTCCCTTAGCTCAGTGTCCTGTGTATGGAAATTCAAAGTTAGGGAGACCTTTGTCTCAGGATCCACTGAGACCACCCACTAGGTGGGTACTGTGGAGTGCCCACAGGCCGGATGCACAGCACCCATCACTCTCACCCTAACTCTTTCATCGATTACTAACCCTATGAACGCCTTGTTTTGTTTCTTTACCATCAAACCTTAGATCACTGCAAAAATACCTATAGAGAATATGGGGGTTGCCCTTACCAGTCATGCACAGTGCACCTTCCAGACAAAGGCCAAATGTTCTCTCTGGTCCGTCATAATACGGGCTTCAATATGAATCAAGTTAGCTCTGCTATTTCAGATCCTTGGGACTAACGTTGGGTACAGGGAGTCCAAGCCACAGTGTGCACTGGCTGGCATTCCTATCCAGTGGCAACACTGTCCATCTCAAGGGAATATGTCCCGACACAAAATGCCACAGTCCAAGTCTCCCAGGACATCCTCCATTCAGAACAAATACTATAAAATAAGCTAACAGCATCAGAAAAGACCGAGACAACCCTCAACCTGGATTCATATAATCCAAAAAGCTATAACCTTCCTAAATGACTCTTGTGGGACTAACACCTCCTCTTGTTTCCTCTGTGCGTCCCTTCAGAGGCCTCTACTGGCAGGAGGTCCAATTAATCTCAGTACCACTACCACCAAGATAACGGATGCTGCTTGCCAGACTCCCCAACTCTCAGTCCCCCTATGGGACTCCAATCACAGCTACCCCTGCTAGCAAACTGATGCCCTTGTCAGCTTTCATTCCTGTGCTTCTAACATTTCGGTTACTTCTGTGCTCCGAACAACAGCAAAAGGAAACTTTTTCAGGTGCTGTTGTAGGACAGGGAGAGGGACAGCCCAAACCCCCAAACCTGCCTATTCTAAATGGGTTCTGCCATTCGCTGCATCAACACAAAACATAGGAGACTTTAATGAAAAGGAACTTTAATAAAACTAGGAAACAATACAGTACAGATAAGGCAAAGAATCTAGTTTCTAAATGAAGCACCCAAAGTTACCCGTCCCCTCGTGGGTAAAAGTCCATCCATATGGGTTTGGCCCAGAACAAGGTCCCAAAGCCTGCCACAAGTCTAAAGCACCTTCCAGTGGGGACCCACAGAAAAGGGTCAGAAACAACCAGACAAGCCCGGAAGGAAAAGAGCAAAATCAACATCAAGATAAAAGCTGCCATTATCACCTCCCCACGGGTCTCACACACATCTGTGTCACCCCGTCCACGACCAAAAGACAAGCGCAGTTTCTTCACGTCTCTAGGCTCCATGTCACTCCTCCTTCTGGCTCCATCCTGCTTCCTTCCTCAGTCTCTTCTGCAGCTTCTCCTCTTCCTGCTCAGCTCCACCCTCCCTTGGGTGGGGCAGGGTTCCCTCTCCTGGGGACCACTCTGTTACAGTGCAATGGCTCGCTCTCTCGGTGTATTAATTCTGCTACTCCAGGCCCACGTATCCAAGCCCTCGCGGTCCCACAGTTAGCTCTGTACGGACGGTCTGAGCTAGGTTGGTTATTCTCACCACATCGGACTAAGCAGGCGGCCTTTCTCCCAATCATGGTTGGAATTAGCCTGGCATCATCAATAGCAGCCGCAAGAATGGCAGGTGGGGCCCTGGGACACAGCCTGATTTCTGCCCAGGAATTTCATGAAAGAATAGATACCTCCTTAGAAAAAAACCTGTGTCTTCAGCATCATTACAAAGACAGCTCACCGCCCTGGCACAGGTCACTCTCCAAAACCGGTGGGCTCTGTACTTGTTAACAGCTAATAAAGGGGGTACCTGCCTGTTCCTCAGGGAAGAATGTTATTAATAGTAAAACCGGGGACTCCAACTCTCCGCTGACAAGGTTTCAAAATCCTAGTGTCATGGCTCCTCCCACTCTTGGGGCCAATACTAATGATCACCTTATTTTTTCTTTTCTCTCCTCACCTCCTAAAATTCACACAGGCTCGCATTCGGGAAATGTCTCCTACCACCTTTAACCAACTCCTTCTCCACCCATATTCTCGCGTCCCTGCAGAAGACCCTCATCACCAGGCCTGAGCCACCCCCTTGATTTTCGCCCTTTTCAGCCAGAAGTAGCCAAAGAGAGAACCTTCACCCCTTTTCCTATCAACAAAAGGCTGGTATGAAAGGTCCATGCAGAAGCCTACCAGGAAGCCCACCTGGGGGGCAGGAATGCGGATACCTGCCTGGAGGACTCAGACAGTGAGACTCCCCCCTCCCCCTAGAGTCTCTTCTCAGACAAAGAACCTCTACCTGCCCCACAAGACTCCCCCTGCCCAACAAACTTTTTCCTGCCAGAGGAGCCCAACTTCCCACCTGACCCCTGCTCACCCTTTAAAACCCTGCTTCCCCCTAACAACGTGCACGGCTTCACTGACACCCACCTTGGGTGCACGAGGTCTGCGCGGGGCGCAATGAACTTTCCCTCCCTTTGAGAAATGTAGCCTGGCTATCCTTGTCTTTACCGTACCAAACCTTTCAGTCACAGCCTCTGCGAAAGGGTCAATCAACCCTTGCTGCTCTGGGAAAGATGTGACTGTTCCCTTCCCTCATGCCTGTGCTCACGTGCTCTCCCGGGTTGCCTGAAATGCATAAATGAAGGGCTGCAGAGACCCTCAGCAGGACGAGGCCCGCACCCTGACCCAGTGTCTGTGTCTCCTCATCCCCCTCCCTTATCATTCTCTACAATTGCGCCACCGCCGTCCCATCCTTCAGGAACCCCTGACACCCAGACGGCTGCGGCTGGCTCACAACAAAAGATTTCATCTTTGTATCATTATTTCCAATTTTCCATTGTTGTGAAGTGAAGGGAGACTATGCACCAGAAGACCTGCCTGCGTGCACGCTCTAGGCCGGCAGAGGGTGGAAAGGGAGGCCGGTCTAACTGTTATAGGGCAGGGAGAGGGGCAGCCCAAACCCCGCAAACCTGCCTATTCTAAATGGGTTCTGCCATCCGCTGCATCAACACAAAACATATGAGAATTTAATGGGAAGGAACTTTAATAAAACTAGGAAACAATACAGGAAAGGCAAAGAATCTAGTTTCTAAATGAAGCACCCACAGTCACCCGTCCCCTCGTGGGTAAAAGTCTATCCATATGGGATGGGCCCAGAACAAGGCCCCAAAGTCTGCCACAAGTCTAAAGCATCTTCCAGTGGGGACCCACAGAAAAGGGTCAGAAACAACCAGACAAGCCTGGAAGGAAAAGAGCAAAATCAACATCAAGATAAAAGCTGCCATTGTCACCTCCCATGGGTCTCACCCACATCTGTGTCACCCCGTCCACGACCACAAGGCAAGTGCAGTTTCTTCACGTGTTTCTAGACTCCATGTGCCTCCTCAAGGTCTCCTGTCTCCATTCTGCTTCCTTCCTTCCTCAGTCTCCTCTGCAACTTCTTCTCTCCCTGCTCAGCTCCACCCTCCCTTAGGTGGGCCAGGGAACCTGGAACCTCCCCCTTTCCTGGGGATCACCCTGTTACACTATCAGGCCAATTAGCAATTTGCCTGAGCTCACTGAAGATGGTGACCCTTCAACACTGCTAAGAAAGAGGGAAGCAAAGATGCTCTTATGAATAATCAGATACAACTTAGGAAAGTCCTTTAGAGATCAGTGGAGGTAGTCACTTAGTCATCAGAATAATAAATAATTTTAAAACTTGTTTCTCCCATCTAAAGTCTGTGCCGTCATCGGCTTGTGCGGACCAGCCTTTTTCACTCACATGCACACAAACACACACACACACACACCAACCATACACGAACTACATGCACCTATGGTCACATACGCACACCACCCTGTTATAGGGCAGCCCTGATATTGAACGGGTTGCCTGGCTGTGGGTCCTCACCCGTGTGCTTAAAAGGGACCCATTAATACTCCACTACAGGCACACACAGAAGGTTAATGAAAGATTTACTTACAAGGGAAAAGGAAATAAGGAAAATGTACAACTCAGGGAGAAAATAGGGAAATAAAGTCTTTAATGCGTCCTACCCGATCCGCCGACCTGGAAACCCAAAGGCAGGACGCTGCGAGCTGGCCCAGAGCCAAAACGGGGAACCCCTCCAAAGCCCACGGGTTGGCTTTATATCCACCTGGCTGCTTAACCCCACCCTCAGGTCCCAGCCACCTTCCCTTGGGTGGTGATGGGATGTGGAGTTCCCAGTGTCTTTGGCTTTGACCTGGGGTGGGGGTGGAGTCCACAAAGCCTGTGTGGAATTAGCCTTAGGACAGCCTTTCCCCCTAAGAACCCCACGCACACGCTAAATACCACCACCGACCCACTCCCATCGCTGCCTCAGAGTCCACAACCCACAAGGCGCGGGCTCCCGAAGGAGAGCCCCGAGGCGACCCAGCAGGAGAAGAGCCAGAATCGCTTCTGTTGGTCAATCTTTACTGGTTACTCTCACCCTTCACCCCAGAGATGCAGACCTTGGGGGAGAGCAGGAAGCCCCGGGGAGGCAGAGCCAGCCGGTGGGGAGTGTGGGACTGGGCCTGAACACAGAGCATACCCCAGGGCCGGGCAGTCCCTCCCGCGACGGTGTCCTGGCCTTCACAACCCTGGGAACAGCTGCATTTATTGTCCTCTTTTTTTTTCCTTTAATAATAAAGGAGGAAAGGAAACTTGTGTATAATGTGGATGCTATTCTTGCTATCCGCATTATATATAAAATACAGACTCTGTTTACTCTATAACACACATCTTTCCCCTTGATAAATAACTTCAAAATATCTAGTATACATGCCTTGACCTTGTCATATACATTTGGTTTTCTTCATACATACATACATATATATAAGTACATACATATATATACTCACGTCTGTAAAACACAAGAAACACATCCTCAACAATGACAACTGAACAAATGCAATTTGGATTAAAAAAAAATGAAGTATTTCTGTGAAAGCACCAGGCAGCAAACAGAAAGCCATAACTGCTAGAAACTTCTTCCTCCCCTGGGCTAGACACAGGGACCAATTCTAAATATGTTTGGTTACCTAAACAAGAAAGAGGGTCTAAGGAGGCGGTCAGGTCCCTGCTTTTGTTTCTTTTCCTGGGATGTGACTAGAGTTACAAGTAAGTCATTACATTCAGAAGGACACCAAGGTGTCCTGGTGATGCTTCAGGGACAGCAGAGACACGCACAGGAAGGGAAACACAATGGCAGCAGGCCACCATGGGGCAGAGCCCGGCCTGCCTGACAGCCTAGCTAAGTGCAGAGCCATCACGTGTAGCACAGTCTTGCTATTACTCTGCTCGCTGTGTAAACAGAAAGGGTGCAGCAGATTCAAGAGTGTTCAGTAGTGCAACACTTTAGTAGCCTGACTGAGCCAGATGCTCCGGTGCCCTGTCCAGGACTCCAGCACAGAGAGACTGGGATGTGGGGAAGAGGAAGGTTCGGAGGCCACTGCTTTGCACTGCTCACTGACTGGGGTCACTCAGCACAGTCCTGGCTTCAGCTCAAGATCCAGTGAGGCCATCGAGCCTATCGCCTGTTGCAGCTGCCCAGGAGGTCTTCACTGTTCTTGTAACAAGTGCTGGAAGCCACTCAGTAGGGCCACCCCTGAAATTGGGAGCACTCCCTGTCTGTCCACTTTCCTGCCCAGGGGGAGGTCAGCCCAATGGCTGCAAAGTCTGCAGCCACATTGTGGAGCAGCACACCTTTCTTTCTCTGCCCTCCACCCTGGCTCCAAAAGGGAACTGAAATGCAGGGTGAACTCCTGATTTTTTTGTTTAATGAGCTCCCACTTCCACAGCCTCTGCAGTAGAAAAACAGAGGCAGCGGGTGGAGCAGAGTCCTCAGGCAGTGGAGCCCTAGGTCTGGATCTAGGATTGGGGTGGGGGCAACCTAAGGAGAGCTGGCCTCAGGAAATCCAAAAAGTAAACATCTGAATTGGTGTCCCTGTTCCCCCTACTATATGACAAATCAGAGAGAACTGTTCACCTTACAATCACAATGGGAAAGTTTAAACAGCTAGTTGTTTTGGTAGAGTGGAGACATAATTGAGTTTCTAAAAACATTCAGTCAGCTACAATACAACTAAAACATTCTGTAGCTAAACATTCAGTTAGCTACGTTCCAGTCCTTAGCAGGTTTGAGTTCTAGCTGCAACTCATACACCAACCAGCCAGGACCTCAGACAAGTCACTTCATCTCTGAGCCTCCGACTCCTATCAGAGAGCCCCCAAAATCCTGGTATGAGGGCAGTGTGACTTAGAAATCTGGGTGACAAGAGGTACCACTAAGAAGTACTGTAACCTTGACCATCATGTCACCTCCCTAGGATGTGAAATAAAGGAACTGAATATACTGGACAGAATCCAGGGCCAATGGATTCACTTTCTCCCCAGGATATCACTGGCCACGGCTGAAGCGACCCCTTCCCGGCCCAACCCACCAGAATAAAGACAATCACATCAGACACCTAATGTATGAGCACAGACAACATTCAATAGCTTCTGCTATGAGACAAGATAGTTAAGAGCGGAGAAAGGTATGAATTCAACATACAGCTAAAATCTAAGTCACAAATGAACTGTAAAAGCTCCACTCCCTGAGAAAAGGCATTTTCCCATGGGATACACCCAGACCACCGAGAACACATTTGACAGTCATTGGTAATAACGGGCCAAGGACATTTTGAAAATCCTAGGTCTGGGGCTTGCTGCATCACCTACACTCAAAGTCAACTTAGGAAGTCAATTGTTAAAGGAGTTGAGCGATATTTGTTTCGGAAGGGAAAGAAAAATCAACTTCTGCTTGCAGCTCTCTCACTAACCTTCTGGAGGAATGTGAGTGTGGCTTCCTGCTCAACAGGAGGGTGTTGACAGAAGTGCAGAGAGCCCCATGCAGGTTGCAGTGAGCCCTTATCACAGCTGCTCCACAGGGCAGGAGGGCAGCCCCCTCAGAGTCCGCAGGGAATGCTTTCCTGCCAGGAGAAGGACAGAGGCCCAAATCCTTCTAGGGAGGTAAACGGGTTACTGGAAAGGCTTTGGAGTCCATTTTCCTTAATAGCTGTGGACTTTCGGCAAGCTACTCTTCCTTCAAGTCTCAATTTTCTCATGTATAAAATGGGACCAGCAATATCCAACGCTGAGCATGGTTTACAGATGAATGAAATCACAGATCTACAACACTGCACACAGTAAAAAAATCAAGAAATGTTGGCGCACAGGGGGTTCCTCAATGGCTCCCTGCAGATAAAGTGTTTGGGAGGAGTTGTCTTGAGTTGGAGAGGGCCAAGGCTGCCCCTGAAGTATCCAGATACACCTGACACAGGTAATGAAGGCCAGGCAGACTAAGGAATGTGGCTGGACTCTGCAACACCTCTCCCATCGTGGAGAGACTGACAATGATTGCAGACTCTCCAGAAAAAGCTCAGAGAATCCAAACTTTCCAAACAAGCCCAGCACATTTCCAAACACTGGACACCAGTGGATACCAGAACATCAGACTTACACCCTCTTCAGGATTTGGAATTTGGGATCCCTGTGAAAGCAACCAGTGGCATCAGCCACATTTTCAAGACTAGAAGGAGCCACATGTGGCAGAGAGTAAACCAGGGAACGGCAGAACTAGATGTGAAAACCAGAAAGTGCTGCCTCCATCCCACAGGTTCCTTGCTACATCTTAAACAAAGCTGAAAGGTGCCGGATTATCACCAGGAGTTCTTCCCTGGTCAGTCAGTGCATGTGCCCAGACACCTAAGGGCGCTATTGACCATCTGGGCTGAAACAAAGCCTTCCGCAGAGTGCTGACGGGGGCTTAAGAAGACCGTTTCCTATTGTGTCTCCCAGTCGAGGCTTTGCAAGTGGTAAGACTGGGACCAATGGAGCACTAACATGTATCCCAAGCGCACTCACAGAGAGTTTTGTATTAAAAAGTCAGCTATCTGGGGCTTTATTCCTCCCATTTCTTCATCTACCTACTACACGCGTTGAAGTAGATAAAACTGGAATAAACACACTAAAATATTTTTCATGCTTCTCTAAAAGTCTATTTTCTTTCTATCTACCCCAGCCTCAAATGAGAATTTTTGTTTTAGACATGGAGCTCAGAGGCCTCGTGGGAGAAACCTCCCAAGTATCATGGCTAAATGGAGAAACCTAAAATGAAAATCCGAGGAATATCCCAACTTATATTACCAACAATTTAGAAAAATGAAACACAGAGTCACTGGTTTCCCTCCCTATTCAATCACAGCCTCGTAGGCCAGCTAGAAAAAAACTTGTTTCCACTCAGAAGGCAATTTAGGACAACCTGAACCAATACAGTCCCTGGCATGGCCTCTGCTCAAATTACGGAGAGACTTTCATTCTATCAGATGTGGTTTGTACTGATAGTTGCCAAAGCAATTAGCCAACGGGGAGCCAAGAGGGGAGTCAAGAGGGGAGCCGCCAGTCATTGTGAACCCGCAGTCTGATTTGGGGGCCTCTCCTGGTGGCGCAGACTATTGAGCATCGCACTTGAGGCTGTCTGCAGGCTCTGCAGCGCCAGTTCGATCCCGGCCGGCCTGCGAGGGTCCCACAAGGCACGGGAGATCCCCCCTGCCGTGCCCGCTGCTCCCCTCAGCAGTGTATTTTGTGAGTCTGCCAGTTCTATTCCCCTCTCTGGCTCTTGGGGATCCTCTCACCCTCCCGCACATCTGGCCTGTACCCCGGTTCTTGTATATATAATCTTTGAAAAAAAATAAATTGAAGGGCCTCCCCAGTGGCGCAGAGGTTGAGCGCTGGGTTGTGAAGCTGCCCGCAGTCTCTGCAGCGCCGGTTCGATCCCCGGCTGCTCCCCGGCCACGGGAGGAGGGTTCCACATGGCGCGCAGACCTCTCCTGTTGCCCGCTGCTTCCCTCAGCAGTGTACTTCGGTCCTTCTGCCTGCTCTGCTCCCCGCTCTGACGCTGGTGAATTCTCTCACCCTCCCGCACTTCTGACTGTATCCAGTGCATGTATAAACAAGCAAACAAACAAATAATTAAAACATGCTTCTATAAAAAAAATTTAAAAAATTAAAAAAAATAAAAGATTTGCACCCAGGAAGCCGCCTGATCCACTTTCTTTTTATTTATTATTTTTAAAAATATTTATTTATTATTTATACATGCACTGGGTGGAAAAGAAGCGTGAGCACAGAGGGACTTTGCCTCCCGCCCTTCGTGACCTAATCATGTGGAGGTTTTATCTCCTCATTTTTTATTTATACATACCAGAACTGGGGTACAGGCCAGAGGTGTGGGAGGGGAGATAGAGCAGGGAGCAGAACAGGCAGATGGACTGAAAAAACTGCTGAGGGGAGCAGCAAGCAAGGCAGGAGGGGTGTGCCACCCCAACTGGGTTTCTCCCTGGTGGCCTGGGATCAAACTCATGCTACAGAGGCTGTGGATAGCTTCATAGTGCTGTGCTTTATCTCTTGTGCCACCCGGGAGACCCCACATCATTCTCAAAAGATATCAGTGTGAGCTATCCTGATTTTCCCCGAAATGGAATAGAGGGTGCCTCCATCCTGCCAGATACTTCCTGCAAACATCCCCATTTTAGAAGTAATTGCCTCTTCTCTGAAAAATAAGCAACTGCTGCCCAGGCCAGTGACATCACAAAATGCTTCCCTACACACACACCCTGCTCTCCAGAATGCATGTAATATAAACACACACCTACTTACCCCACCCCCCACAACCAATCTGTCATTCCTAAGTGATGTCTCAATGTACTTACATGTTGGATTACATATATATCAAATCTAAGACAATGTCTGTTTGAAGGCCACAAAAAGGCCCCTAACTGTAGTGTTTCAAAGATCCTGAAAATTGTATTGCTGCAGGTAAACCAAAGGCAGAAATACAGTGAGTATTAGTTAATGGAAGTAACTAAGTATTATCAATTGTCAGCTCTATGGAGAATTTATCCAGGGCCAACCAAGGGGAGGCCCCTAGACAGGAGAGGCAAGACAATTTCTGCATGTGAAGTCATGTGAAGAATTTATATTTTTCTTGTGATCATGCAGAGTGTTACAACAGAGGATAGCAGGAACCTCTAAAAGAGGGTCTAGTGTCACTTCAGGGTCCCCAGAGATAGTTTAGGTACAAAAAAATGGATGGCAAAGCACCAATACCATGAAGTGTTTTGCAAAATTCTTCAAAATACTCCGGCAATATTTTGAAAGCACTCAATATTCCGGGCTACTAAGAGAACAAAAAGTGTGTAGTTATTGAAAACAGTCAAAACTATTTCAGATATAAGCTATCGAGAACAGCGCCTGCTGGTGATGTAACATTGTGTAGACAACCACCTGATTGTTCTCATCTGTTACAGAAAGCCTTAAAATGGAGGAATTGGTTAATGCTGATGGGGGACAACTTATGATTAAGTACATGTCCAGATGACTACATTAAAAATCAATAAGCTTGGGGCCTCCCCGGTGGCGCAGCAGTTGAGCGCTGGGTTGTGAAGCTGCCTGCGGCCTCTGCGGCGCCGGTTCGATACCCGGCTGCTCCCCGGCCACCAGAGGAGGGTCCCACATGGCGCGCAGACCTCTCCTGCCGCCCGCTGCTTCCCTCAGCAGTGTACTTCGGTCCTTCTGCCTGCTCTGCTCCCCACTCCGGCTCTGGTGAATCCTCTCACCCTCCCGTGCTTCTGACTGTACCCAGTGCATGTATAAACAATAAATAAAAATAACATGCCTCATATAAAAAAAAAAAAATAATCAATGCATGGACCTCCCTGGTGGCGCAGCGGTTGAGTGCTGGGTTGCGAAGCTGCCCGCAGCCTCTGCGTTCCCAGTTCGATCCCCAGCTGCTCCCTGGCCAACGAAGGAGGGTCCCACATGGCGCACAGACCTCTCCTGCCGCTAGCTGCTCCCCTCATCAGTGTACCTCGGTCCTTCTGCCTGCTCTGCTCCCCGCTCTGGCTCTGGTGAATTCCCACCCTCCCGTGCTTCTGACTGTACCCAGTGCATGTATAAACAAACAAAAACAAATAAATAAAGATACATGCTTCTTTAAAAAATCAATGAGCATTATTTATATATATATATATATATATATAAAGTTCACATATAGTCTAAATAAGACATTTAGATAGCACTGTATGCTATTTCATAAAAGTCAGGATTCAGGCATGTAAGAAGCATTCTGGACCTTCTGATACCAGAATCCCGTAGTGTCAAACACAGAGCCTCTTTACTTAGCTAATGTGAATGGATGAGAATTCCATGCCCTTTTGTGAAAGTCACCTGCTCTTTCATCATGTGCCTGTGAAGATTTCTTTTGGCAACAACATCAAATAATATTCATGATCTCTATTACTACTCTGAAGAACATCAGGACTTTAATAAACTGTCAATGTATTCCCTAAGGACAAAAGGATGAAACGATTTGAACTTCAGCATGTTTCTCTGTCTAATTTCTATGCCAATTGGGTGATTTAGATCAATCTTTTGAGTCAACCAAACAGCATATCCATTCACATTTTCTTCATACATGATATATGACACCACCTTAAATTTGCAGGAGCAAGTCAGATGTGAGCAAATCCATCCATTAGAGAAGGATCCCTTAGATGTTTGAGGCAGCAACAATCAAACACATGACGTGACGTACATGAGAAAGTCATAGAATGAAGTAATTTAGGTGTGAATTACATTCATCATGTCTATTCATATCTCAAGTATGGCTGATAAAAAAGGACATAGAAAATAACTATACATGACCCAAACCATTGTCTTCAAGTTTTATTTATGTTTTTTAAAGATGTATTTTTATGCATACAAGAACTGGGGTATAGGCCAGAGGTGAGGGGGGTGAGAGGATTCACCAGAGACAGAGTGGGGAACAGAACAGGCAGATCCACTGAAATACACTGCTGAGGGGAGCAGCAGGCAAGACAGGAGAGGTCTGCTGCTCCATGTCGGTCAGCTCCCTGGACAGGGATCAAACTTGTGCTGCAGTGGCTGCCAACAGCTTCACAAAGCTGCAACTTAACCCCTTGCACCACCAGGGAGGCCTCCTGAACTTTTAAATTATGCTAATATTTAGTGTTTTAATCTTGGTTTATGCTCCATGACCATATTCTCATTTTAGGTTATGTCTGGCCAAGTGGAATTAACTTACTACTGCACTGCAATGTCTCAATATGCATCTAATTTTCATTATAAATTACTTTCTCCTATTTTTGCTTCTTTAAAGTTTCCAGTATGAAAATCTTGTGGTTTCATAATATATATTTGGACAATCCATTGGTCACTTTCATTTACGGGTTCTCTCACTAGGCACTCTGATGTTTAGGATGATTTGACTTCTGGATAATCACTGCCACTTCTGGTGAAACTTCTGGACTTCTGGTTAAAGAGACTACAGTAAAAAAAATGACCTTTGAATTTTAACATTTCTCTAATGTGAATTCTGTGATGTAGAATAAGACTTGACTTCCAGTTAAAGGCTTTGCCACAGTCTTCACATTTGTAGTTTCTTCCCAGTGTGAATTCTATGATGTTGACTAAGATATGACTGTTTTTTTAAAGACTCTGCCACATTCTTAACAGTTCTAAGGTTTCTCTACAGTATGAATTCTGTGATGTCGATTAAGATGTGACTTCTGGTTAAAGACTTTGCCACATACTTTACATTTGTAAGGTTTCTGCCCAGTATGAATTCTATGATGTTGAATAAGTTTTGAATTATAAATAAAGGCTTTTCCCCAGTATGAAGTCTGTAATGTTTAGAAAGATTTGACACCCAGTTAAAGGCTTTGCCACATTCTTCACATTTGTAAGGTTTCAGGCCAGTATGAATTCTCTGATGCTGACTAAGACTTGACTTCACCTTAAAGGCTTTCTTACATTCTTCACATTTGTAAGGTTTCTCACCATTATGAACTCTCTGATGTTGGGAAAGGCGACACAAATATAGAAAGGCTTTACCACAGTCTGGACACATGTAATGCTTTTCTCTAGTATGACTTCTTAGAGGTCGAGTCAACTGTGAATGCCAATAAAAGCCTTTACCATGCTCTCCACATTTACGCCATTTCTTTCTCTGATGTTCATTAAGGCTGGAGCAGCATGTGTTATCTTTGCCATAATCTTTACAATTGTAAGGTTTCTCACCAATTGTCTGATATTGGAGAAGGTTTGAGGACTCCTCAATAGGATCCTGTGTAGATTTTTCATCTTCCTTTCTAATTCTCTGATGTTGAGAATGATTTGACACAAAGTTTAAACCTACCCCATGGTGACAATGTTTTGAATAATCATTTCCATTATGGACTAGGGGACTTCCCATATGTTCCAATATTCCTCTCTGAGAACGTGTATTGGTAAAAATGCCACATGGATCTTTGCTAACAGAAACATATTTATATATACATGCAACACACATAAAATGGAGTTTTACCCAACATGGTTTACACACTGGATCAGTTTTTGCAGGAGAAATTTTACTATGGATAATTGTCGCTGCTCGGCCATCTTCATCGCAACAACTGTTGTGCCCTTCACATGCCTCTTGACATGTCTGATCTTTCAATAATTCTAAATTCTCAAAGGTGTCGATTCCATCTCCTCCCGGTCCCACATTTAGGAATAAATCTTCTGTGCCTGACTGTGGTATGCAGTCCTGGTCGTCTTGAGAAGACATGGCTGGGAGACAGCAAGGAATAATTACCGCACTCACAGCACTCAAGACAAAATAAAATATTTTAACTATTTTATACACAAAATTAATACCAAATAAAGACCCCCGGCCTGATGTTAGACAGGTAACATGAGCACTAGACAGCAACACACATGCTTATAAAAGGTGATGTCCTCAGGGAAAGGTAAATACATAGCAAACAGAGAAAAAGGTATGATACAATCCTATAGCAAAAATACTGTTTCTGCTTGAGAACTTAGAAATGTTAAACAGTTGGGTTTTGGTATGCAGTTGAATGTAATTGTTTTCAGTTTAGATAAGGCTGAATAACTTTTCAACATGGTATATAATCCCCATGTGACAAAAAGATACCAGTAAAATACATGGAAAAGGAAATGAAAACAGAGAATGATGTCATATGTAACAGGTTGGGTGACAATGCTTTACAATGTTTGTAAATAAGATTACAAACCAGTATACCTCAATTAGCATATAAAATGAGAGAAACTGGAGGGAAATCACCCACAAGAAAGGAAGAGAGGAATAATACAGAGCTGTACTAGGGAGGAAATGAGGTATAAAATGGCTGAGAATACAGGAATCATTTTTTAATAAAGTTAATGCCTTCCTTTCAGAAATACATTGTGTGTAAATTAAAGTCCACATGAAAATGACAAATATGTCTGAAGGAATTAAAAATAAGACCAATTCAATCTTACCTATATGAAACTCAACACAGACATCAGCACACCATGTAGAACGTAAGGTTGGAACTAGATTCTATGAAAACTGATCCATGGAGTCACGTTGATCACACTAATATCAGAAATATATATGATCTGAGTTTAAAGACTCACAGGATGAAAAGAATGCCCCAAGAACATAACAGAAAACTACATGTATTGGGAAGCACTGTAATATAACACATGCACTAACATGAGGACCTGAATGTGTGCAGCACACAAAGACAGAACTGAATGCAGAAGAGGAAAACATAAGATCAAGGAGGGGTTCAAGCCCCAATTGCAACTGGAAGGAAAATAATGGTATAAATTCAGGAACCGGAGTTGACAAACAGGGGTGAAAAATAATTCTAAAGAAAGGTGTGGTATATACACAGGGTGGAATACTACTGAAAAAGGATACATCTGGCCATTTGCAACGACAAGGATGGAATATTGGGGGAGGATGATGCTCAGTGAAATGAATCAGAAGGGGAAAGACTTACTGGATGAATTCACTCCTGTTTGGAATATGGAGAAACAAAGCAAAGAAACTGACAATACAAACCAAAATGAACTCGAGAATTAAGACTGCAGAAGTGAGGGTACTGAAGAGGTAGGGACACTGGCTGTGGGTACAAAAGTGGGAGTGGATTCAAAGATCTACGGTGAGGCCCATAAGTGCACTGGTGGTGGGTGTGGTGGTGACAAACATTTGAGGTGATGAGAATCTATTCTCGAATCACATAGAGCAAGGTAAACTCGTGTTTCCTAGATTCTAAATAAGAAATACTGAGACACTGAAAGGAAGCAAACTTCCAAAACATGTGGGATTCAGAAAATAACACTAAGAAGTAAATTTAAAGCATTAAACAATTACACTATCAATAAGAGGGATCTCACCTGAGCAACATAACTTCACACCTCCAGGAATTAGAAAAAGAATAATTTAAGCTCCATATTGGCAGAAGGAGGACATTTAAAATGAAATAAAAAATACATAGATGTAACATCATGGCCAAAAAGCAGGTGCTTCTCCATGAAAGGAAGTCTGGATTTTGAAAGATCAACAAAATGGACAAAACCTAAGTTCAATTCAGTAAGAAGGAAAGGCAGAGGACTCGGTGTCCGAGAGGAGACGCCCCCAGGGAAAGTAAGACTAAGACTCCAGGACAAAATAGGAGCATGTCTGCAATCCCTGAAACAGAGCTTCCTAGACATATTTAGGATGCTTTCCTGTACCACTGCACCTGCCAGCTGCGGCCTCTGCCAGATTCATTCCACCTACCTGGGAGGAGGACGGGATTTGCACTTCTCTTCACATCCCAGGGCTCCACCTTTTGCTCCAACAAGACGACCAGGTCAGGCTTAGACATAGCAAGACCTGTTTATTAGGACAGGTGATATGAGATGGCCTGCAGATTTTCAAATTACCAATACAGGATTGTGCTCAGTAGAGAGGAGAATACAGAAGGTTCTAGAAAAGGATCACTGCAAATACTTTTTCTGACACCACCTTTACCAGAAATCATTTTCATATCCTGGGGCCTCCCTGGAGGTGCAAGGGGTTAAGGAGCATCCTGTGAAGCTGTCCGTGGCCTCTGTAGCGAGATTTCAATTCCTGGCCGGCCAGGGAGTGGCCTACATGGCGAGGTGGACGTCTCCTGACTCGACCGCTGCTCCCCTCAGCAGTGTGCTTCGGTTGATCTGCTTGTTCTGTTCCCGGCTCTGTCTCTGGTGAGTCATTTCACCCCTCACACCTCTGGCCTGAACCCCAGCTCTTGTATGCATAAATAAATAAATCTTTAAAGAAATAAATTTTCAATACTGAGAACCATTTCCAGACATCTGAGTCATAGGAATGTGCAATAACACACTGATTTTAGCTTGTAATAAGGAACTGATTTTCTTGAATGAGCACTAATAGAGCAGGCTGCAGATCACCTAAGAGAGAAGTTTAAGTCATGATCAAACAGCATGAGACTTTCTTTCCAACAAACTCACACTGTTTTTCTGAAAATCAGGGATGTAAACGTAGCCTACAAATCTGGACATCCAGGAGCACACACACATAGCACAGGAAACGGTGAGGGCAGATGAGGAAATCTGGAGGGATATTCTCCTCACCCAAGGATGCCAGGTTCCTGTAGGTCTCTAACATCACGTCTCGGTAAAATTCCCACTGTGCCGGGTCCAGGTAGTCCTGCTCCTCCTGCAAGAATTCTACGGCCACATCTCTGAAGGTCAAGGGTTCCTGAAATCAAAATATACAGTTACCATGTGGCCAACAGCGGAGCTCTGAATAGGGTATGAGGTGAAAAGAGAGTTTTGAGAGTATCCTCATGGTGGCACAAAGGGTTCAGTCTCAGCACTATGAAGCTACGACAACTACCGAAGGACGAGTTGGATCACTGACCAGGGATCTGACTCACATGGCGCAGCAGACCTCTCCTGTATCCCTGCTGCTCCCCTCAGCAGTGTATTTCAATAGATCTGCCTGTTCTGCTCCCCACTCTGTCTCTGGTGAATCATCTCATCCCCTACCCAATGCCCTAACCTCTGGTTTACATATAAATAAATAAAATAAATCTTAAAAAAAGGGAGACCTGGTTCTAAGAGAGAAGAATGCCCTTATGAGACCCATGTTTACACACTAACAGTCTAATGCACCCACTGAGCCCAGAAGATCACATATGCCCACAGAACCACCATGGACGCTATAATTTCATTGATGTCAAATCTGACCCAGGGCACACATTTGTACAGCAGGGAGGCAGGACAATTGGAAAATTCATAGTAGACTGACCTGAAAGACTGGAAGGAAATTGTAAATAATGATCAAATACTAAGCAGAACAACAAGAAAACAATCATATTTGAACCCTTGGTGTCCATTATATATGTTGAACTATGTTATCACTTTTTACAATTGAATACATGATAAAATTTGTTTATTTCTCTGAAAGTATAAACAAGTTATGAAGAGAACGTGTGTGAAAAGACTGGCATTTCCATTGATATTCATACCAAAAAGAATGAATAGCTGTGATTATTTCATTCAAGTTAAAGAAGGAGGGGCCTCTCTAGTGGCACAAGGGGTTAAGAGGCAGCACTATGAAGCTATCTGCAGCCACTGCAGCATGAGTTCGATCCCGGCCAGGGAGGTGACCCAAATGGCGCAGCAGACCTCTCCTGTCTCGCCGCTGCTCCCCTCAGCAGTGTATTTCAGTCAGTCTGCCTGTTCTGCTCCCTACTCTGTCTCTGGTGAATCCTCTCACACAACCCCTTCTGCCATACTTTGGCCTGCAGCCCAGCTCTTGTATACATAAATAATAAATCTTAAAAACAAAAGTTAAAGGAGGTGAAGGACCTGAAACACTGAAATTATAAAACTCTAGTAAAGGAAACAAAAGATAAGAGAAATAGAAAGATGTCTGTGCTCCTAGGTGGGAAGAAATAAATCATAAATGGTTATTGTCCAGAGCTATTTACAGAGCTAATACCTATCCACATACCAAGGAGGTTTTTCATAAGGAAAGAGAACAATCACTGCATTTATGTGAACCCACAGAAGGTCCCAAATAGCAAAAAAAAAAATCTTGAGAGAAAAAGTGAAATGTGTGGGCCTACCCTGGTGGCACAGTGGTTGAGCGTTGGGTTGCGAAGCTGCCTGCAGCCTCTGCAGCGCAGGTTTGATCCCGGCCACCGGCGAGGGTTCCACATGGCACACAGACCTCTCCTGCCGCCCGCGGCTCCCCTCAGCAGTGTACTTCCACCCATCTGCCTGTTCTGTTACCCGCTCTGGCTCTGGTGAATTCTCTCACCCTCCCTTGCTTCTGACTGTACTCAGTGCTTGTATGAATAAATAAATAAATCTTTAAAAAAAAAAAAAAGAAAAAGTGAAATGTAACGATTACACTTCCTGACTTCAAAATATATTAAATGCCAATGGTAATGAAAACATTATTTTACTGGAACAAAACCAGAACTCAGAGCAATGGAAGGCAATTGAAAACTCAGAAAGCAAATACTATAAATACGAAGAGTTCACCTTGGACAAAGGAGCTAAAATCATACAATTCAGACAAGACAGCCTCTTTAATAAATAATACTGGGATGGGGACCCCTGGCGGCCAAGGGGTTAAGAGTCAGTGCTATATATACAGCATGGCCATTCCAGGCCAGAGAGCTGACTCACATGTGGCACAGCAAACCTCACCTGTCTCCCTCACTGCTTCCCTCAGCAGTGCATTGCAGTGGATCTATGTGTTCTGCTCCTTACTTTCTTTCTGGTGGACCCTCTCAAGCCCAGAACATCTGGTCTACACCCCAGTTCTTCCATGCATAAATATATCTTCCTAAAAAATGGTTTCAGGAAACATGTATAGTGACTTGCAAAACTAAGAAGCAAGACCCATTCAAAACTCCATACAGAAAACTAATTCCAAATGGCTGAAACGTTTGGATATAAGAGCCCAAAGCATGAAGTACTGAAAGCAAATAAGGGGTACACTATAGGACAGCTGCTACAAAATGCATTAGGGAACACAACCCCAACACCAAGGGAAAGAAAACCAGATTCAACATGTGGGACAACACCAAACCTAAAAGCTTTTGGAACTCAAAAGAAACCAGCATAGAAACAGAAAGGCAACCTATAGAATATAAAAAAAAATATTTGCATGTCACACATCTGACAAGGAGTTCATTCCAAAATTTATAATGTTTCCGGGCCTCCCTTGTGGCGCAAGGGGTTAAGACACAATGCTAGGAGGCTATTCCCAGTCACTGCAGCATGAGTTTGAGCCATTAGAGCAGTACAGTCCCTACAGATAACGGTGCAGAGATTTCTTAAAGAAATAAAAATATTAATTCCATATGATCAGCAATACTTCTATTAAGTTATTTACCCCAACGTGAAAACTCATTACAAGATTCATCTACACCTAAGAGCAGAGCAGCACTGTTCCCAACTGCCCAGCTAAGCTAAAGAAAACAAATCACTCACCAGAGATTTATCCATTGTCCACTGCTCTCAAAGATGCCAGAGGACTCTGGAGGCGGCGCTGGGAGAGGTGATGGAATCCTGCAGGAAAGGACTGAGGCAGCTGGTCCCGGGGCCTGGAGTCTCCTGTCCAGAGCGCTCCACACACTGCCTGGGAGAGCAGAGTCACTGCGCGTGACAGCTGTGCTTACACTCTGAGAAGGAGCAGGAAAGGACCCACTAGTCCATTATTAATACTATTTGGGTTTACAATTTACCGTAAGTTAATAAAAACTGATGATTCCTAGATGAACTAGTAGTCCATGTGAAGAACTAAAAAGAGTTTCAAAGATGATTAATCACTTAAAAAGGGTTTTCCCTGGTGGCCAAGGGGGCGGAGCCCAGCGCTGTGAAACCGTCCGCAGTCTCTGCAGCACGGGTTTGATCCCCCACGGCCAACCCGGGAGAATTCCACATCTCGCAGCAGAAATTGCCTGTCTGGCCCACTGCTGCCCTCTGCAGTGTATTTCAGTCAGTCTGCCTGTTCTGCTCCCCGCTCTGTCTCTGGTGGATCCTCTCACCCTTCCGTGCATCTGGGCCTGTACCCAGGTTCTTGTACGCATAAATAAATAAATCTTAAAAAAAATCACTTAAGGGCCTCCCTGGTGGTGCAACGGTTGAGCGTTGGGTTGCAAAGCTGCCCGCAGCCTCTGCAGTGCAGGTTCGATCCCGGGCTGCTCCCCGGCCACCAGAGGAGGGTCCCACATGGTGCACAGACCTCTCCTGCCGCCCGCTGCTCCCCTCAGCAGTGTATTTCGTCGGTCTGCCTGTTCTGTTCCCTGCTCTGTCTCCGGTGAATCCTCTCACCCTCCCGCGCTTCTGACTGTACCCAGTGCTTGTATGTATAAGCAAACAAATAAATAAATAAATCCTAAAAAAAATTAAAAAAATGAATTAAAAAAATTGGACACAATTTCAAAGGAAATGGTGCACCTTATGCACTTCTTTGGCAGGACGGACTCTCCCAGGAATGGTTCCGAGAGCCCGGCTTCATGTCCTCGTACACCCCGGTGCCCATGCCCTGGATGTGCCTGGGTGTCCCCCCAGAGAAAGAGGGCGCACACGCACGGGAGGAAAAGCACTTTTCCAGGGGTCTGGCCTCCGGGACATCGTCCTCCTGGGGAGACCCGGGGTCACGGGCAGGCACGCGGCGGGGCGGCGGCCACGATAAACGGGCACAAAGGACGGGAAACTCTTACCGCCGGGCTGGTCAGGGCCGGGACCTCCGCAGCCCGCGTGTCCTCGGGCCACGCCGCGAGGGACGCGAGACCCCGGAACGCAGCCCCGTCCGCGTCCGGAGGGAAACGGCGCGCGTGCTCCAGGGTGAGCTCGGGGTCTCCAGGAGAAAACGCTCGGGGACCCGCGGAAGCCACACCCCGGGGCGGGCGCACGTGGTGGGGGGTTCCGCATCCCACGACAGCCGTCCCAGGGCGTCACAGCGCACGGAACTCCCGGAAACGCGGAGGGGCGGCCGTCGGGGGGCTCCCCCGTGTCCAGGGCAGGGACCCCGCTCCCTCGCCCCAGCCTCCCGGCGGACCCTCCGGCGCCTGTTCCGGGCCACGGGCCCCCTCACCCGCCTCAGGCCTCCCCTGGCGCCTCCCCTGGCGCCCGCCCCCGCTCCCGCACGCGGGTCCTCAGCCTCACCCCAAGCCCAGCCTCGGCTACAAGGCCGCTCGCAACCCGCGGCGGGGAGCAGCGACCACGGAGGCCCAGGGGCCCCGGAAAGACGGGGAGGACGCGGGGCCGCGCCTGCGCAGACGAGGCCTGCGAGGCAGGACGCCCCTGGGCGGAGCCCTGGACAGGAACCGCGTGTCCTCAGGAGACTACATTTCCCACAATCCTGCGCGCCGCGCGTCCGGGAGCGTCAGGGCGCGTCCTCCCCCAGTGGGGCTCAGGGACATATTGGGTGGTGGGGCCACGTGAGCGCGGCCTCGCAGACTGCCCGTGCGCCGGAACCGAGTCTGTTTGGCGAGGAAAAGGAGGAGAGTGTTTTGATGCCAGAGAAGTGGGTTCCTCTCACTCTGCTCTCTCCCTGCGCTTGGGGAGCTGCACCCCCAGGAGGGTGTTTAGGGCACACTCCCTGGACAGCATCTTGAATAAACCCATGTGAAGGCCTTTCTT